TGACACAACAGTCATTAGACTGTGACATCGACCCACACCAGATCCTTCTTTGAAGCATTTCAGCTTAGCTCAATCTTCATAACTCTATTTTCATTTTCAAAATGTTCCCTTAACCTCCAATTGATCTTTTCCAGAGGGTAAAGATCACCTATTGTTAAAGAAGATAGTTTAAGTATTATCTTTAAGTCATTAGAGTTCATGTTAGTTTTTATGTCTTGTTTATTGATTAATCAAAATGTCAGTCTTATAACCAATATTATATTAGTTGGTTAATTAAGTTACACACAATTTCAGGGCAACTTGGACCAAAAAGCTCTATACATCACCAGTTAATCTAATAGTGATGTATTTGAACAATCAGAGGATACTAAAATACCAGGAAAGAATCCACACACCAATAGGGAGAAGATACAGACAGTCCAAAAAATGACAAAGGGCTTTTTTGTTTTTCCCAAAAAGATAAAACAAAAACCTTTTTTTCCCCCCAAATTATATAAACAAAGAGCCTTTCCTCATAGAAAATAGGGTTTAAAATTAAATAAAAAATTCATGAGATTGTGTCTTACTATTATCAATAATGTGGAAAAATATAAACGTAAAAGAAAAAACTTGTTTTTCTTTTTGTAATTTTTTGGGTTCAAGGGCGCCGCCATGTTGCAGTACTGTAAGCGATGATCTCACGGGGTTGGTTGATGCTTTAGCTGGAAGTTGAATACATTGAATATACTGGCAATACCTCAGAACTCTAAACATTTAAGAAATTTGGTATGATGGAAAACGAAGCTGAAAGGTCATTCAAGCATCTAAATCACATTTCACGTGCTTGAGCCCATTCGGCGTGTTACTCGAGTCATAGTAAAGAGAGGACAAGTTTTGGTGCCGGGGGTTCTGACTATCCTTGCTACCCGACAGAACACTGGTTGTGGAGATTATGTGAAGCAGAACACTTTTGAGTCTGGCAATCTAGTGGTCAGTTGGGCAGCCAGCTAAAGCCTAAAGCTGCTCCAAGTGTTTTTTTCAGTTTCACCGCCTATAAGCTGGGTTCAACTGCCTGGCTAAAACACTCCGAGAGCGGGTCAAAGTTAACAATCAGCCATGATAACAGGGTGCGATGACAACCTAAGGGGGCAGAGCAGAGACATGAAAAGTTATGTTAGCAGGTATTAAGTCATCAACTATGCCCCTAACTCAAAAACAAATGTCCGTCACTAGAGCTTAGCTCTCTGACTTTATTAAACACACTTTTTTTATAGCTGAAACAGCAGCCATCAGGATGAACATATCTATCTGTCCTCTCCCTCACCATCCTGCGGCCTTTATTCCTGAAAAGTGTTTACCGGTCGCTCCAATGTCTCAGCCTGGCCACTGCTAAAACTTCCACGTCTTAAATAAATGGTAAATGGTCTATACATATAGAGTGCTTTTTCAAGTCTCCTGACTTTACATTCACCCATTCATTCACCCATTCACATACACACTGATGGTGGCAAACTACATTGTAGCCATAGCTGCCCTGGGGCTTACTGACAGAAACGAGGCTACCATACACCAGTGCCACTGGGCCCTCTGACCACCATCAGTAGGCAATGGAGGTCAAGTTTCTTGCCCAAGGACACAACGATACGGAAAGCCGGAGCTAGAACTGACAACCTCTCCGATTGCAAGGCAAACTCCTGCACCGCCACTGTCGCCCTGTCACCAATATCTTGACACAGCAATCTAAATGTCTGAAAACTAGTAATGCACAATTCGATGTGCAGTGTGTGGTTCAGGTCAGCCTCCTGACAGCAGATGAACAGCAACAACCACAGTTGGTCTAATCAAAACACATGTTCCGTTGTCCAGAGATGGGGGATCTGGAGTCAACAAGTCATTTCTATGTCATGTTTTTGTTCTACCCAGCCACTGAACCTGGTGAGTTCAATTTACACAGATAAACCAGATTGGAATCACCTGGTTCAGTGGCTGGGTAGAACAAAAACATGACATAGAAATGACTTGTTGACTCCAGATCCCCCATCTCCCCCATTGTCAGAACGCATCCATAATTCATTGTTTATCTGCAACCTGTAACATGCTATATATCTGGGCATGCACTTTACACGGGATAGGGCAGCTTGTTGGGTTGAATGAATAGTAACTACACCAGATCCACAGCTGCCTCTTCTCTGCTTACTGAGGCCCAAGTCACACCACCAAATGGGCTCTAAAGGATAAGAAATTTAATTTAGACACTTGAGTGTCCTTCCAGCTTCGTCTTCCACCACACCTAATTTCTAAAATGTTTAACAGTTTTGAGGTACTGCCGGTATATCAAATGTATTCAACTGCTAGCTAAAGCATTGACATACCTTCTGATGTCCCCGCTTGGAGCACTGCAACATGGCGGCAACCTTGCCAAAAAAATTATAAAACAAAGCTTCAATTTTTCTTTTACTTTTATATTTTTCACATTTCTAATATAATTGTTGATAATAGTAAGACATCTTCTACAATAAAATTAAAAACAGATACAGCAGATTCCAGAAAAGGATCTCTTATTAAAGACTAGGCACAGAAATATTTGTGAAAACATCAATAACACCTTAGATATACACAAGTTTGTAAAACCCCTGAATTTGGAGTTGCTTACTTTGTTTTTAATCAAGTGAAATTCTTTGCATTTCTAACAAATAATTGTTATCTGTACACGTTTAAAGTTAAATCTGTCTTATTTTCTCCATTCTACACAGCTTTAGCCAGGCATCCGGAGAATCAGGAGTTTATCTAAAATGTAAGTTCAGCTCCTAGATATTTATCATCAGAAGTAGCATGTTTGTATATAATCTGAGTGATGGTACTATTTCTTATAAACCTTAACAGTTAAAGGACAATTATAAAGCAGTGAAAATGTCTCTATTCAGGCTTTCTCTGTTTTTTTTGTTTTTTTTTATCTGATGACATAGTTCACGTTTAGATTTTCAAACAGATTGTATTGTCTGTGTAAAGTGCCTTAAGAACACATGTGTTGTGAACTGACACCACGTAAATAAACTGAATTGAATTGAACCATGACCACTTTGGATGACAGCATGAATCAAACAACAGTATCTTCCCCTTTCTGCAGGTCTGAAGGTTACTGCAGAGAAAGAACCTCAATGGAGACACTTAGAAGCACATAAAAAAAATAAACTGCCTAGTCCCAAAACATTGTTTTTATCATTCTATTCAGATATTGAGAAACAGTGTTGTGTTTCTCCCTAGTATGACCTGCTGGGGGAGTGGAGAAGCAGACAATTATCATCTATTTTTTTGACTTTCAGTAATGAAATGTCATGAATGGATCAGTTAAGAAGATAAAAGGGAGATGAGAACTACTTGCAAAGCTGGTACTCATGCAGCAAACCTCAGGGCAATAGAATAATGGCTGAAAATTGAGCGCCATCTACTGTAAAGTTAGGGTATTGTTATTAAAATACAAAGGAGAGCAGCTAACATTTAATTTCATTATTATAACTTGATGGGGTTTTTTTTTCTTTTTTATTATATTGGCTTCCAGTTGTCGTGAGGGGAAGCAACACATATTATAGATCTTTTGCATTATTGAATTTAGTTTCAACATTGACAAAGTATGGACCCCAGCCAAGCTCCATCCCATGCTTAGATGGGATCCTAATGAAAGTTGTAAGTAAAAAAAAATGTCTCCAAAGCTCAGCTAACTGAGCCAATGCTGTAAATATGAGTGTGGAACAATTCATCCAGATCCATGTGAAGGATTTAAACAGCATGCAGAAAACAGCTACAGTAACCACTGAAATATACTCAGTTATACTTAGTTTATTCAGCCTTATATTTTCTTTAAGGGTTTATTTTTGATTAACTAATTATTACGGAGTAGAAATGTATTTGTATTTTGTAAACTAATTTTAAGAAACTGTAATAACCAAATGTTGATAACTTTTTAAAGAATTATTTTTCTCCAATCACTGTCAGTGACTAAAATAAAATGTTGGTTGTTCATTGTTCAAATATGCCCAACTGTTAAGGTATTAGATATTATGCATTACCAAGATTTTTCTTGAACATTCTTCATATGAATGTCACAGTTTCATTGTTCCTTTTACCCTCGGGCCATTTATTTTTCTCATTTTTCTGCCTTTGATTCCCATCTGCATACATATACAGAAAGAGCTGCAAATATATTTAAAGCACTTGCAAATATCAAGCTGGTGGGCTTATAGGAAAAGGGGCGTGATGGTGTGCACTTTGTGTTACATAATTGATGCTCCCTATTGCCTTACGTCCTCACTGCTGTGCTGGCAGCAAACAAAGCTCGCTCATTAACTATTCACTGAATTATTTGAACAGAAAAATGATTCTGTGGAGCTGCAGCACCTCAAACTCCTCAGGCATCTGATTGCACAGTTATTAAAAAGACATGGGCTGTCTCTGCTGGCCATGTTTTAATTTAATAGCAGATCGATGTGGTCAGAGATGAGACCATGACGTAGATTCAAATCAGAGCAACGATTGAGCAGCATCCAAACATGTTTTTTTTGCATAGATTTGTTACTTTGTTAAGATGAACATGAATATTAAAGAACTTAAAACATTTAATATGTGTTGCATCAAGTTTCTACATAGTTTTATATCAGCCTATCTGGATGTCTAGGGGGGAAAAATTAATCGGAAAATGTAGGGGGAAAATTTTTTTTAACCTATTTGGCATCAACTGAGGAGGATAAACCGTATTTTATACTTTTTACAGGATGATTAACATCTAAAGATTAGTGGTATTAATTATATGTATTATCTACACAGGCTCCTGTCCATAAGCTTCGGATAGCGTCTTTAGAAAACCTCTTTTGTACACAATCCTAAATCAACCTCTATGTGAAGGTGTATATTTTTTTTAACATGGATATATGTGATTAAATTAAATCAAATTAAATTGAACTGAATTAAATGGTTATTGTGTTAGGCAGTATTACTCCTTTGAATCCCTGTTAAGGAACACTGAAGTAATCTTTATATATTGTTGTTTTTTTTTCACCCATCTTGTTAAAGGGGCTGCACACCATCTGTGGTCAGATGCTTCAGGGTTTTTCCCCTTCTCTTTCACCCCAGAAGTAATCACACAGTAATAACCACGTCCTCTAAAGGGATGACTCTCAAACAGGTTTGATTTTAACACTTTAATCTAAATAGGGCTGCACAATGGCTGCAAAGATCAGCACTGAGGCTTTTGCCAAATAGGATGGGTAACTCCAAAATTTTGATAAATACTTGGCACGCCTATGCAGGGGGCAGAACAATGCCTAAAATGCTGTCAGTGTCACCATTTTGGTGTTTAGGTTATGTTATAAAATGTGTCCAAAACTTTATCTTAGTGTTGTTGCAGCATCCTAATCAACTCAATAGCAAACTGTTCCATTATAAAATCCAATCCTTGGAAGTGAATCTATCTCTCACATTGTGTCTCTATAAGCTGCCAAGTATCTTCAAATTGACCCGTTTTCTTCCTAACTGACCATAGTTCATCTGTCCTTTTAATTATGTCAATTAGGATAATATGTCCTTACATCCTTAAGCATAAAAATCAAAAATTCTATTTCAAAATAAATATTTTTCTGATATCACAAGAACCACAGGTTTGATCAAATGTGGTAATACGAACATTAACTAATAATGCTAACAACAAAAGTTCAAAATCTTATCCTAAATTATTATGACAACGAATGTGTATGTGCAACAAAGAGGAAAACTTTGCATCCAAGCATTTTAGTGGAAAGTTGGGTGGAAGGAAATGGGAATGATAGAAATAAAACAAGGACCCTTGATAGCCAAAGATTTGACAGGGAGGTAAAACCAACTTTTTTTAAGAACTTGGGAAGCTTAACAAACCACTGACTGCTGCTACAGAAAGTTCTTCAAGAAATAGGAATAGGACCTGGGTTACTTCTGGGTCACACTTCCTGTGTAAAACTGGGCAAACAATGTACAAGTTTTTGCCTTCTGCCTTAATAAATGGTTTAACTTTCACAAATCTACATCTGCAATGGTTGTTAAAAGGAAAACCACCCATTTGAATTTATGGGTTTGGCCAAAGGAATGTTCATTAAGTCAAATCTTGAGTGCTTAGTCATTTCGCCTTGCCAAGGACAAGAATGCTCATGAGGAAGACCATGACGAAGAAAATCCACATGAAGAACCTGTCCATCACTTTAGCAATCTTCTTCCACTCTGCCCCCTTGGCACATGTGGCCTTCTGCTCTCTGAAGCAATTAGCAATGTACTCAACGTTGCGGACTAACTTGGTGTCCACATTAGGAAACCCACTGCCAAAGCTGCAGAACACGCAGGGGCCAAAGGTTACCGTGGGACCGAGAGGTGGAGGCTTTTCATCTTCAGGGCAACAGGGAAACTTAAAGTCGTTGGTAGGATCTTGAGGATTTTGGTCCACACAGTAGTCGCTCAGTGTGTTTTTACGGATGGAGCCCTCATACCTATTAGGTCCTGATCTGGAGAGATGGTTGCCGTCATCTCTTCTAATGTGGTGCTGCACTTTGACTCTGCTCTGCTGTTGCTGCTTGTAAGGCTGAGATCTTGGGTATCTGTGGCCCTGATGGTCCTCTTGGCTGCTGTGCCCTCTGGGTTTTCCATTTGCATGAATGTGAGAATTAACCACATCATCCTGAAGGTAGTGAGAAGACGAAGCAGAGGAGCCAGAAGCACAGTTCTCTCCTACTTCATAGACAAAGAAAATCTTTGACATGTAGTCAATAATGAGCACTTTTGCCCAGTGTGGGACTGGTTTGGCCTCAGCGCCACAGAAATGGATGTTCATGATGAAAATGGTGAGCGCTGTGGAGGCTGTTACCATAGTCATTGTGGCAATATAGTACTTTCCTATGGAACAAAACAAAAATAATATATTTTTTTGCTTTATACTTGCACAGAAAATGCTGTAGAAAGTAGACTGTTACCTATAAGAGGCACACTTTCTGATGGTGGCATGCTCTCAGCCACCATGAGCTGGAACACAGTGAGAGCAAGGAGAACTGTGACTCCAAGGGAAACCTTCTCACCAGAGTCTGCAGGCAGGTAGAAGCCCAGAGGAGCCAAGAAGGAGATTAGGAAGCATGGAAGGAGCAGGTTAAAGATGTAGAAGGAGGAGCGGCGCTGCAGGAGCACTGTGTAGGTGATGTCTGGGTAGGGATCAGAACAGCAGCCGTACATGATCACATTCTTTGTGGCCGGCATACCGTGGCATTCCCACTCCACGTTTTCTACAAAATCAGAGAGGTCACCGCTGTCCATGCCCATGATGATATCTACCTGCATGACGAGGGATGAATGATTAAGTAGAGGCAGGGCATTACAATAGTGACATATAATTCATGTCTGTACCTGGTTGCCATTGTATGTCCAGGAACCAAAGGTGAGGTTACATTCCTGGCTGTCAAATGGAAAGTAGGAGACATCAACAACACAGGAGCTCTTGGTGATGGCAGGAGCATCCCAAGTTAACTCTCCATTGTAGCGCAACTTGACGTTTGTGTCCATTGGTCCTGAGAAATCATCATCGGCTCTATAGGAGAGGAAAAATGTTAAATCGTACTATAAAAAAAAAGTCAATAATCAAAAAGCATTGTTTAAAATGAATGTGGTGTTTCATTCTTGATAGAATTTGGTTAAAATAAGCCGGAAGGAGCATTTGCAAATCATTTTGTTTTTAAATAGCTATCTGGTGTGAACATGTCTGTGTTGGACGACGTACTGGCGTACTTGTTATAGAGGACAAGGTCGGGCCTCCACACTAGGCTGCTGGGAATGTGGATGACATCTAGACCATCATAGTCTTCTTTATTCCACCTCAGGTACGCATCGTGCCATGTCTGCCTAATCCACAGGTAAGCTATCAGCACCTGGTTCCTCTCATCCTTAACACACACACATAGAAAGGCACAAAAAATGTTGCAAAAATTCAACATTACATCCAAAATCACATCTAAGTAGCTAAGTAAAGTAAATAGGATACAGTGTCTACAAAAGTCCATTCTGTCACATTATAATTATAAACATACTTACAGACATCATTACGTGATGGAAACAGGCTGATAATATTGGGACAACAGGGGGCTAACACTATCTCTCAATTATAAAACCAAAAACAAATGAGGATGATGACATTTGCATGTCTTATACAATCAGTGTTGCGAAATGGGCTGTGATAATACCTAATTTAATTTCCCTTTGGGATAAATAAAGTATTTTTTAATTTGAATTCAATTTAAAGTCACACAAAGGATTGTGGGGTAACTGTATTGTTTCTAGCAGTGGCTAGGGATATCATTAGGTTAGCATACAGTAGCATACTGCTTCCTGGTCCTAGCTCCTTCCTAAGTGTCAACACTATTTGGAAAACCCTTATTATGTGGACGCCAGATTCACTTCTGTTGCTTTATTTTCCTTATCAAATTGAGGTATACCAATTGAGTCCAAGTCTCTTCATGTGAAAAGCTGATTAGAGAAAAACTCAACAGTTTCAGCTGTAACTGAAAAAAATTATTGAGATGTATTAGAGATACGGAAGTTTGATAACATTCCACTCCATACTTTGCAGATTTCTTTTTTTGAAGGAACATTGAGAACCAAGAATAATTTTGCTACCAATTCACAGCTATACACTATTTTTTTTTCTATTAATTTAATCACAAATAAACTGTTATATGTGGTAGTAATGTTACAAAATTAGAGTTTGAGAAGATATTAATAGTTTTTATTCCTGAGACTATGAGGAAAAGATTTGGAATAATTGCCTATCGATGTC